TGATTTCTGTTTTGCTGTTCACCCTGTTTATCCTCTCCTTGTTATCCTGAACTAGTTTGTCATCTTGTAAATGCCAACCTACGACCCTTAAAAAGAATCATCAGGAAGAAAACTTGCTGTGTTGTCTTTTTGCCTGTAGCAGTTGAATAAGCTCATCAGCTTATATAATATTAATATTTGTAAAAGCAAACCTACAGAGCTCATAAATCTTCCATAAAAGAGGGACAATATCTCCATCTATTTTAAAATGAAGCAGGTAAGTAGGTTCTAGGACAAAAAGGGTATTGATACAAAGGAAGTAGGTAGATGAAAGAAATGAAATTGCCATTTTAATCTGAAAATTTGCTCTGCATAAGTGATACCAGAGGCTTCACTGCTGCTGGGGCCAGTGCTTTGCTCTGGGTCATCACTTGGCCCTAGAAGGCTCCAGTCCCTGGCTGCTGCCACAGCAGCATTGCTTCCTGGTATTCCATTCAAGTGGGTTAAGGAGCAAAAAAAATTCCAAAATTGAGGCAGGGCTTGTTTACAGGGGAGAAGAGGACTTAATTAGCATTTTTCCTAACTTTGTGCCTTCTCCAAAATAATAATTAAAAAAAAAAAAAAAAGAAAATAAATTCTGCAGTTTTAGATTCTGTTTACCATTTTTTAAGGCAAGAAGTAGGCTTTTCCCCATTATGCTATGCCACAGCAGTGTGGGAACCCAGACGAGAAAAACAATGTAGCTTATTTTTAGCCAACCAAGTGAGCGATCTGTCTCCAAAGACACACACGGAGCCGCTCGATGGAGGAACAGCGCTGCTGCATCACCACTAACGCAGTCTTTTTTCAAAGAAAAACCGCTTTGAAGCAGTTGCCTTAAGACATCTTTTATGGAGTAGCACCTGCAGTGGGATGGGAGGGGTAAAATCAAACTGTTGAAAGATGGTAGGGATACCAGGGAGGGAAAAACTCCCACCCCCACCCCCCAATTTTTCATCATTTCTTGAGTTGTGTTGCGGATGGCTAGTGCCATGAGACCCCAGGGGATGTGGCATGAGCATCACCTGGGGACTGTCTGTTCCTGGTGCCTTGGTCCTGAGAGGTGAACATGTCGTGATGGCTTTTCCCTGCTGCCCGGGACACGGCGTGAGTCCTGCCATCCCCTGTGGGGCAGGGTGGGGTCTCCAGCCCCATGCAGCAATTGTGTTTTCCCAATAAACATCCTAGCTGTGGTTTTTAATTGGTACGTATGTGCTGCTGAGCAGCGTGAAGGCTCTCGCTGGCAGCTGTGTTTATCTGGTGCAGTGGAGGGGAGGTGCAGATGGATGGGTGTCTTTCGATGCTTTTGCCAGGCTTGCAGCTCTTCCTATTTTCTTTTTTTTTCTTTTTTTTTTCTTTTTTTTTTTAATTTATTTTATTTTATTTCCCTGGACTTGAACACAGTGGGAAACCTTTCATTCTGTATTGTTCGTTGGTGGAGCTGGATCAGAAAATTAATCATGGACTGGGCTTGGTCCCTCCAGCTTTCCCCAGAACCAGAGGATTCCATCGTGCGGGTCAGCTTTTGGCCATGGCAGTGAAATATGTTGGCTGGGTCTGGTCCAGCAGCCCCCCACGGTTGAGAATGGAGTTCCCAGTGTGAGCAGACAGGACCAATAGATGGGAAACCAGGGAAGTCTATTGCAAGTATTTTATAGATGAGGAACCGGGGACCAGGGACACAATGAGGTGATTGCCACAAAAACTGAGCTGGTATCCCATGAGCCCCAGACCAAGGTGCATACCCCAGGCCATGGCATGAGCTGTGTAGCGCAGCCACACTCATTCCCAGCTCATCTCACAGATGAAGATGGTCAGACATTGGCTCAATCTGAATTTTTTTTGTGAAAGAATTTTTTTTCCTTTAAAATAGGGAGTTGCTGAAGCTAAACCTTCTAATGGGCTTAGGTCAATTCATTTAGCACAGCACATTTTTAAGGAAAAATTTTTATCATGCCAACTCAGGCAAGAAATATGTTCAAAGAATTTTATCATTCAGCTCAAATCACTGTTTCATTTAAACATTTTAAGCTAATGAGAGTTGGGAAAAAAAGCTTTTATTATTAAAAAAAAAATGTGGAAATAAGGACAGAACGTGTTGAAGTTCTCTCAGTGGAAAATATTTTCATATTTTTTGTTTATGGAAGTTTATGAGTTTAACTTTTGTCCTAATTAAGGACAAGAAAATATCTGAAAAGTTTTTACAGGGCACACAGATAATTAGCCAGACAATTCCTGCTGGTGTTTTGCATTTTCAAATCCAGCTGCATTTTCCCTAATGAAATTTTCTGCCACAGTGAGGGTGGAATGTGAAAGTTCAATATTATGGATCAGCTTTGCTTACGAGGAGAGAGGAAACAGGCCAGAACCCATATACTGGAAGAGATGAACGAGAGAATATCACAGAGGTCTGTAAAATTATGGAGAACATGAGAATGGCATGATAAACATAATGGCCTACATAAAAAATCACATGCAGGTAAATCAGTGCTTGCAAGGTGAATCAAGTGAAGGGCTTGTGATATCCTCCTGTTCCGTTCATCTTTTCTTTAGGGACCCCCCATTTGCTCTGGGGTGTCCAGTTGTGTTTGTGCTCTTTCTGTCCCTTTGGGTTAAGAAAGAAGATCTGCAGGACCTGTGCTAGACCTCACTGTGCCTCTGCTATTCCCAGCCTTTTGCTGCCACCTCCATCTCCAGAAGGACCTGAGAAAAGCTGAGTTATGTACATCTCTGGCGCAGCACCAGCTCCGCTGTCATTAGAGAATAAACGACACTGTCTCCATGGCCAGGGAAGAAACCAAATTAAACCCCACCATCCTTGGCAATTGATGGGCTGGCTGCCAAGCTCTGTGCCAAAGCTGATTTCTCATAAACAATCAAGGGCAAATTGTGTCTCTAAATTCTGTCACAAATGTTTTTGCTATGCAAAGGGACAAATAGGAGCAGGGAGAAGAGGAGAGAGCGCTTGGCCTGGCCTTCAGCCTGACGGCAAGGGAAAGCTGCGACGATGCTAACACACTCCTGGCAAGGTGGTGGCTACTGGAGCTGCATTAAGCAACAAGAAATGGTCATATGAGCTGCTTCGTCTGCCTGTAGTAACACACCACCCTGTTAACATAACCATCTGTGAAGGAAGGTGAAGAGGGAACCGAATTGCTGGTGAGGAACCCAGCACAGGAGGCCACATTCCCCAGTGGAGAGCCATGCCAAGCATGGGGAGATCTGTCGTAAAGCTCTAAGTGTGAAATTGTTTAATTGGGCTTGCCAGAGAGGGGCTGGGGATGCTGTGGCATTCAAAGTGGCCACTGCAGGTGACACCAAGTTATGAGACATTCAGATTGTAGCGATATACAAGTACTGACTTTTGGCACTAATCTGACTACAATAAATTTGTGGCATATTGACCGCAGTAGAAGTCTAGATCAATATCAGTCTTCAGAAGTCTCAATAGATCAATGTTTCTTTGATACTGATAAAGAAAAGAGAGGATAGGTGTTTGTGGCATTCCCTGCATGCGGTATTATTATTCTTTGCTGATTCTTCTGTTGAGGTTAGGGGAGGAGGGAGTGAGAAGGAAGGTAAGAAAGGATTTAGAAAGATAATTCACCAGACATTTAAAAAGCAGTTGTAAGAAGGAGATTTATGGCAATTTTTTTTCATAAGTTTTAGGCTGAAAAGAGGAATAGAAAGATCCTCATAAAAATGTATTGTCCTTTGAGAGACAAACTCCTATCAGATAGTGGTCTTGGGTTTAATGAGGCGCTTGTGGCAGGGGAGACACTGGCATGCGGATGTGCTTGCTTAGGCTTTGGCAAAGAGGGCCATGCAGGTTACTCACAGATCCCCACTGTTGTCTGGTGGTAGAGATTACCCGTGCCTGGCTCTAAATGCTTTAAGGCAACTGGTGCGGAGATGGTTAAACCAGGGCATATGGAAATGCTGGAGAGGAGGGCACAAGGAGAAAATCCATTTATGTCTCTTATTAAATAAATGTTGGCCCTGTTGGGGGCTGTGGATGACTGAGGTTGCAGCTTCACCAATAAGCCAGTTCTGGCACTTCTGGTGCTGCTGGGGTGAGCATGACTCAGCTTTGGATTATTTGTTCAGGGGGATAAATCAGTAGAGAAACCTGTTGCCATCATCAACAGGATTTTCTTACAGTGGTTTTTTTTTTTTTTTTTAATCCATTTATGGGTTGTTTTGTTGTTTGGGTTTTTTTTTTAAATGACAAGGACCATAATTTGTGGGGGGACATGGGTGGACTTGCAAAGCACTTGGTCGTGGAGGTGTTCCCTGCGCTGGCAGGGAGAAGGAAAGGTCCCCACCTCTCCCCTTTCATGGGAAGCTGTGGCCTGTTCCCTGCGAGTGCCACAGTAAGCAGAAAGTTTAAAGCCCAGCACATACGGTCAGAGAGGCCCGATCGAGACACAGTTAAACAAAACCTAGCTGCTCTGCAGCCTCGGCTGGAGGCCACTGAGGTTCCTCCATCAGACCCAGGGACCTTCCCCAGGACCCCCGTGGGGTCCCACTGGAGTGATGTCCTGAGGGAGATGACATTGCCTGGCCCTCATCATGGGTAGTCTTCCTCCCCTCACTGTGCTCACCCTGCAACAAGTTTCCAGTAAGAGCTGCCAGTGTCTGAGGGGAGAATCAAAGGCGCCTGTGTAACCCTCGGGCTGGGGCTGCGCTGCCGCCGCTATCAGAGATGGTCTGCAGCTGGGTGGGAAAATGAGATGTCACCCTTGGAATGTGTGAAGGTCACCGGATCCTATTACTGAAGTGATGTGTACAGATCCATCCTGACACATCCATTTGTTAGCAGGGACCACGCAATTCCATGGGGAAGTCAGATATAAACATGTAAATGGGAAAAGGATTTCCAAGCAGAACAGACAGGACCTTCTGAGCACCTTTCCCTGTGTATATATTTCCTTCCTTTCCTTTCCTCATCCCGCCCCCGCCACCTTCTCCTTGTTTCACAGGACTGGCTGATGAAATTTGGGTATCTGCCTCCTCCGGATCCTGTCACAGGACAACTGCAGACGCAGGAGGAACTCACCAAGGCCATCACTGCCATGCAGCGGTTCGGGGGGCTCGAGACAACGGGGGTCCTAGGTCAGTGGCTCATGGTCCCTCCTCCCTCCAGCACAGAGGGATGCACGGATAGCTGCTTGTGGGTCCTGGGAGAAGGGACTTGGTGCTGAGTTGTGGAGTAACATCACCTCCAGGAAAAGCTCACATGGGTGTAACATATGGCCCAGTTTACAGCTGTAAGAGTAATTACATGGCTCAGGTGCTTTGTTGCCTTGTGCTTTTAAGAACCTGAGGCAAGCAATTATTTCATCAGATCCACACACCCTTGGGGTTCCCATTGTGCTTAAAATAGCTCTTGGTGTGTTCAGAAAAAAAAAAAAAAAGGAGCAAAAAAATATGGAGAAACTAAGACAGATAGGCTGTCCTGTTCAAAGCTTTAATTTCAGCATCAAAGTGAAGAAAAATCCTGATTAAGCCTCCCAATTTGTATACGCAGATATCCCAGCTTCTTCACCACTGGGGTCTGGTGCAGGGGAGGGAGGAAGATGGTGTCACATCAGCCCAGTGCTGCTATCTCCTGCCCCTAACACTCAGAGCACAAGGTGCCTGTGGAGCTGGCGGGGGTCACTTTGGCTCTTGCTGAGCCGTAGCAGCTCCAGGCACCCCTCAGTCACCCCCGGCTATCCGAGCCCCCATCATCTGCCCCAGTAGCTCCACCAGCCAGCAGGGACAGGGCGAAGAGTGGCTTCTGCATGATGTGGCAGGCACATCTGGCTGGGGGTGGAGCAGTCCGAGGCCAGGCTGAAGCAACACAAGTTCCCCAGTGTGGCCAGGGTTATTCCTCTCAATGTCCTCATTGAGGGAAGGAGAAAGCCAGCATTATCTCAGCCCTCAGAAGGGCACCCATCCGCTCTCCTCCCCTCCCTGATGCATGGCCACGACCTCCCGCCACGTGTCCAGCTTGCTTCCGGTGCTTGGGACAAAATTAACAAGAAGCTGCTAATTACTAGACTGGTCTCCATCCATGCCAGTGCCCTGGCAGCCCTCCACTGGTCTCCTGGAGCAGCTGCTGCCTGATCCAGCTTCTGGTCTCATTGCTGGGATTTTCCTCCTCTGCTCTTAATTGAGCATGAGTGATAAATTCCCTTCCACCTTATCCCGAACTACAGGAGGCCCAGGAGCAAGGATGGCCTTTCAAATGCATCTGCACTTTGATTTTTGGAGTTGTTTTAAAAAGGCCTGGGGGGTTGCCCTGGGTAAGTGGTGGACATGGGCTTGCATCTGAAAACAAATTAAGAGGTAAAGCCAACATGGAAAATGGGTGAATGAACAACTCGTCTGCCTTTCAGTAGATGCATCCACAGCACTCCCATTTTTCCTGTCCCCCTGGGATTTCTTAACCCAACATTCTGAGGATTTCTGTTACATTTTTCCTAACCCTAGATGAAGCCACACTGGAGCTGATGAAGACCCCTCGCTGCTCTCTGCCCGACCTCGCTGCCACAGAGACAAGGAGGAAGCGATCTGCACAGACTGTCACCAAGTGGAGCAAAAGGAATTTGTCTTGGAGGTAGGAATTCATCCTCCCCTACCAAAATGTTGCAGAAAAGGGTTGATACCATGCAGACCTGGGCTAAATATGGCTTTGTGACGAGTTCCAGGGTGATGTGCTAAAACGTGTTCCTCTGTGCTCCCAGAACTCCAGACTATCTATTTAAACACTTCTTCTGATCCCAGCCTTGACTTCTTGGACTCACTTGGCCACCAGCTGGGAATGGTGCAGACTTGGCCAGTGGATCAGCTGGGAGCTTTTTGCTGTGTTGCAATAGTTAGAGCATTATTTCTCTTGATTTCATTGGGACTTTGCACTTTCTCAAGCAGCTGCAACAGACTTGGCTCAGCAAAGGTGGGGCTGCTTCTCTTGTCCAAGCTGAGCCCAAGGGTTGGGAGCATATTCTGGGTAATAGTCACTTTTTTTCTCCTAGTCTTTGCTACAGGGGAGTATTTTTCCCTTGATATCAGGGAGCAACACGTTGAGTCACGCTGAACCTGCAACACACATAAGTTCAGGTCCAAATTCAAGAGACCCTGCAGACACACTGCTGGTCAGGGCTGGCAAACAAGCTGATCCCTGTCCCACCAAGACTTGTGCTTTCTGGGACCCATTCTTCATCCCTCAAAGACCATGTACTGCAGTGATTGTTCCTCCAAGAAAGGTGAGCACCATGAGGTGCTCGTACTACCCTGAAAAATCATGTGGATGCTATGGAGGGATCTCCTTATTAACAATAAACTTCTCTTTGATCCTGACATTGTCCCTAGAGTGAGTCCAGCTCCCACTGCAGTAGCAAATCTCAACTTGGCTGTCACTGTTGACACATGTGGCCTTACCAGGGATTTGGTCCATGTTCCAGCATATCCCTCTGAGACCTTATTTTAAGAAAATTAAAATATAATTCAGCTTCAGTAAGAAACTATTTTGGCTCATGGATGGCTTCTCGTAGTGAAGTGACCCACATTATAAAAGCTCAGCCTGTCCCACTGTCAACCAGCCCTGTCTTGATGAGTAAGAAGAATAAACTCTGTATTGCAGAGAGGAAAAAATATCCTCTTGGGTGAAATAATACAACCTGCACCGATGTCCTGCGAGATGGCAGAGCCAGCAGAGGGGACATGGCTTGTGCACAGCCCTGGCCTCGGCAGTTCCTCTGAGCAAAGCTGGGCTGGACAAAGCCGAGCTGGGTCCCACGGTGGGTCAGGAGCCCGGCCGGGCCGGCACAGTGGCCGCAGTCGCAGGCTGGAGCGAAGCATGGAGGGGGAGTGGGGTCAGGCTGTTCTGCTGGACACAGCCCCGGGATACCCCCTGCCCCCCATCCCCTTGGAAGCTGGGATGCTGCAGTAAAGATTGCCATTAAAAAGAGGTTTAGGTCTGAGATGATTTTATATGTATGACATAAAAAAATCCATCTCCTGACAAACTCATTTCTGCTTTTTATTCTTTGATCTTTTCCAAGATCTTGGCTTTTGTTCAAAAAAGGGCTGTATTTTATAACTGGAGATTGTATAAGCCAACAGAAGGCTATAGCATTATAGAAACTCCAATATAGTATTTACATCCAACACTTGAGATTAAAATAGCTTTTTTGAAACTGCTATGAAAATCTGTCAATAGAGGCATAAAGTTTTACATGCTTACCTTTTACACATTGATTGAAGATTTTTTAAAAAGAAAACAAAACCAAATTCTACGATGGCATGCATTTAAAAATTGAAGAAAAATCTGAACAAGCGTGAGGCTGGAATAAACGGGTAAGAAACCTGTACAAAAGGATGATCTCAGGATAGGCATCTGCTCTGATAGAGAGGGCAGTGTCTGGCATGCAGGTTACTCAGGTTTCTTCTTTATAACCTTGAGTACAGCCAGCCTGTGGGACTGGAGGGCTCAGGGGGTAAAACAGTAGAGGCTGCATCCCTCACAGCCCACGGTACAGACTCAGAGCATCCCAGCCCAGTGTCAGTCACACACGATATTCTGTGCCTCATCTCCACGGGAAACTTCCAGGATATTACAGCATATAAATCTTCTTTTCATGGGACTTTTTTTTTTTTTTTAATTTTTTTTTTTTCCTGCCTTCTATGTAGGTATACCAAGGCGCTCAGTAGGCTGATGAGGTGGCAGTGGGAGATATTTGGGATGTGGCTGGAGCAGGGCGCGGGGAGCAGTGTGCTGTGGATGCCCTCTGCTGGCATCGGCACCGGGAGCTGCCCGCGAGGAGTTCCCCCTCATGTTTGCAGCATGGTTTTTCTTTTGCTAATTTTACTTTATTCCTTCTGGTTACGTCCCAAAGAAGGAGAGTTCATGGCTGGTATCTCCGTCTCTTCCCAGGTGCTCACAATCTCCTCGCAGTCATGGGAAATGCAGTGTCAGGGCCATGCCCCCTCTCTGCATGCTCTGAACTCCCTGGGGCAGGGGGAAGTCGCTGAAGCCCAGCTTTCTAAATTTCCCAGGTTTTCTAATGCTGAAATCTCAGCCCAGTGCTGAACTGAGCTGACTTTTGTCCATCTTTAGTTAAGGACAAGTCCTTGGTGGCACTTCAGCAAAGCTGCAGTCTTTGAAACTGCGATGCTCAGGACATGGGGTGCTGGAGCTGGAGCAACCGCAGGTGGCAAGGGAGCAGTGATGTCTGCTAGTCGCTGCCCACAATCACTGTGAGCATCCTGAGCCCACCCACAGCAGAAGTATGGCACTGCCTGAGCCAACATGGGGATTTACCGAGGCATGGAAGGGCAGCTGCTGGGCAGATAGCACGGGGTAAAGGTATACAACCAGGGTAACCGCTCCCATTCCCACAACAGTCCTGATCCTCTTGCTTTCCTCTTCTAATCAGTGGCATCCCACCATGGGGACCTCCCAACCCAAGCCCAGCTGGTCACAGGCAGCTGAGCCCTCTCTTGCCTGGGGGTGACATGCCCAAGGGGCAGGAGTGTCACCCCCCAGTGCAGAGCTGGTTTAGGGCTGTCATAACACTCCCATTGCAACTGGGACCCTTGTAGGAAAAGCTCCAAGTGGCTGGAGCAGACTGCAGGCAGCTGCCACGATGGCAACTGCCGCCAGCACCGGGGTATGATGGCAGGGCGGGCAGTGAAGTGCAGCTGCCCCCACACCGGCAGCCCCCTTGGAGCAGCTGCTCCTCTCAGCCTGAGAAGCCAGCTGTGAAATTTGATTTCACCCACCTCTTCTCCCAGAGACGGATTACTCCTGTGCCAGCACCCATTGCTGGGCTGTAGGGAGCTGCCTGGCTTTGTGTGCATTTTAAAGAGCAAGAGAAGGATTATCGCCCCAAAATGTTCAGTAATTTTTGCAGAGTGCTGGGAGAGAGGTGATGGATGGTGCAGGCACCTGCACTGCTTTCCTCTTGTGGCATTGGGATGTTGTGGCAGTGCTGGGGTAGCACCAGATCAGAGCTGCCGTGCCACGGCTTGTGCTGCGGCTGGCTCCGGGTGTCTGGGAAAGCACCTTTCCCACACCAGCAAGCACCCACCCTTTCAACTGTCCCTTCTTCCTTCCCACCCCAAAAAATCAATTTGGGTTTGTCAGGTAATCCTTAGCCTGCTGTGTTTGGTAGTTATCAGCATTTATTTTGTTACTCTGTGGTTTCAGGGCTGCAGAAGGTGAAGGAGTGCTTTCATTAACAAGCAACTGATTCCTCATACATCACTAATACTCTTATACTGTTATATTTGGGAGGACAAAATTCAGAAAGGAACCCAGAAATCAAAATAACCACTGGTGTGGATGCTCCTCAATAGTGAACAGGGGTCGATCAGCCATTTCTGGCCTCCACTTATTAATCAGCTCGGACCCAAAATCTCTTTGGGATGGGTCAAGCAAAGGAGGGAACTCAGGAGACCTGTGAAGGACTGGCAGCAGCCAGGTGAAAGTCAGCTTTCACTTGTCTGCATGGCAGTGCTGCTGCCTGGGTGAGCACTAGAAGCAGGGCAGAGATGTTGTTCTTGGCATCCAGTTGTGCCGCTCACAGCCACGTACAGCTCGGCAGCCGCTGCTCTAAGTGCCGTGGCCGTGGCTGCCTCGCGCAGCCCCATCCGCTGTGGGCACAGGTGCTCCTCGAGGTGTCCCCACGCGTGGCTCTGCACAGGGCTGCAGGTGACCCCGGGGCTGAGCTGGTGGGGTGGCCGGGGGGGACTGAGCGGCACAGTCCTCATCGCCCTCCCAGCAGCTTGGCAGGGACCAAGCTTTCTTTCTAGTTGCTCACACCAGGCTTTTCCCTGAGATTGGAGCTCTGTAAGGGGAGTCTCAGGAAGGATTAACATCTAAGAAGAAGGAGCATTGCTCTCTGCTGGGTACTAAGCACCATTTACTACAAATAGTAATAATAATCAAGGTAGGAGGAAGCTTATTTAGTCCTGTCTGCATCTGCATGACGTTAGAAATGTGCCTCCTTTTCAGTGGAACTGGGTAATGCAATGCCAATGAACTTCCTATCGGCATAATAGTCTTTTCCTAATCTCATTGAAAACAATTAGCAGAGCTCCGGCAATCAAATCAGATGCTGAACTGAAAAACCCTGTTGGGATTCTCTTGAAAAATAAAGGTAGTAATGAATAAAAGATGGGGGATTTTTCACTTACACCTGCAGCATGTTAATAAAACGTGGGTCAGCTCAGAGGTGCAGGACCTTTTATAAGAAGCAAAACAAGTATTGATACTGTTTCTGCCTTAATCTAATGTTTCTAGAGTCAGGGGTTGGGATTAATATTAAAAATGTTTGTCTCTCTTCATCCACTGTCCTCTTACAAGGGAGATCGGATTTATTACCCTCAGTCTATAGCTGGAATGAAAGGGAAAGGAAAGCGTCTCATGCAGTTCAGCAGGACTTGAGGAGGGAAGAGCAGATAATGTCCCCAAATGTGAGTCTGTGCCTTACACACCATGATCTTGGTGATAGGTCATAATTCCTGGGTGAAACATGATGTGTTTTACATGTATAATTACTTGCTTGGTAGAGACTAAAGCAGCAAAGGGTTTACCTAAGTCCAGAGGAGTGTTGTGGAAGATGAAGGCACTTAGTTAAAGAATATCTGGAAACCAGGTGGCCCTTTTTTTGTACTCTAGAGGTTTACATCCAGCCACAGTCTCTTCTATAAATTAAAAATTGCCTGAAAATTGTCTTTTCTAATCCCATGCTCATACTGTTTGTACATCATGCTGTCTTCTTTACCAATGTGGGTTTTCTGAAGACCTATGATTATCTGATCCTACCTGTATGCTAACTCATTTAGTTTAGTAGATAAGATCTTTCTTTGCACAGAATAGTTTAGGGACAGCAAAAGTGTAGGTAGGACTGATTTTTGCTCATCTGGCTGTGATGTGTTTTGCCTGATTCACCCATGTCATTCCCACCATCTCTAGCATGGGGGTCCCAAGCTCTTCAGAGAAACTCTTAGTGAGATTTCTGCTTGTTTTCGTGAGTCCCTTTTTGTTCTGTCCTGGATTTAACCCTCACTAGTTTTGCCCAGGTAGCAAGGTGCCCACCTTGGGCTGCATGTCACTGAGGGCATGGGATATATGAAAACATTTGTGAAAGCAAGAGCATGCCAACCTCAGTCAACAAGTTGTTCCTACTCCCTTTGTTGATTCATGGTGTCTCTCAGTACCCTGATCGCTGCCTGTAGGAAGAGCTTGAGTGACGAGGCCCTTTCAGACACCTTGTATTTATTGGGTTTGTATGGCAAGGTTTTGGTAGCAGGGGGCTACAGGGGTGCCTTCTGTGAGAAGCTGCTAGAAGTTTCCCTGATGACCCACAGAGCCAATGCCAGCCGGCTCCAAGACAGGCCTGCTGCTGGCCAAGGCTGAGCCCGTCAGCAGTGGTGGTAGTGCCTCTGGGATAATGCATTTAAGAAAGGGGGGGGCGGAAACCTGTGTGACAGCAATTGCAGCTGGAGAGAGGAGTGAGAATATGTGTGAGAAACAACTCTGCAGACACCAAAGACAGTGCAGAAGGAGAGGGAGGAGGTGGTCCAGGCACTGGAGCAGAGGTTCCCCTGCAGCCCGAGGTGCAGCCCACGGTGAGGCAGGCTGTGCCCTGCAGCCCATGGAGCTCCACAGTAGAGCAGATCTCCACCTGCAGCCCATGGAGAACCCCACGCCAGAGCAGGGGGATGCCCAAAGGAAGCTGTGACCCCACAGAAAGCTCACAGAGGAGCAGGCTCCTGGCAGGACCTGCGGCCCCGTGCAGAGAGGAGCCCACGCTGGAGCAGGTTTTCTGGCAGGACTTGTGACCCCATGGGGGACCCACGCAGGAGCAGCCTGTTCCTGAAGGACTGCACCCCATGGGAGGGACCCACGCTGAAGCAGTTTGTGAAGAACTGTAGCTTGTGGAGGACTGTCTCCCATGGGAGGGACCCCACGCTGAAGTAGGGGAACAGTGTGAGGAGTCCTCCCCCTGAGGAGGAAGGAGCAGCAGAAACAACAGGTGATGAACTGACCACAACCCCCATGAGGAAGGAAACTGTGAGTAAAGTTAAGCCCGAGAAGAAAGGGCAGGTGGGGAAGCTGTTTTTAAGATTTGGTTTTATTTATCATTATCCTACTCTGATTTGATTGGTAATAAATTAATTTTTTTTTTTTTTCAACCAAGTCAAGTCTGGTTTACCCATGGCAGTAATTGGTGAGTGATCTGCCTGTCCTTATCTCAACTCAGGAGCCTTTCATTATATTTTCTCTCCCCTGTTCAGCTGAGGAGAGTGGTGATAGAGTGGCTTTAGTGGGTACCTGGCATCCAGCCAGGATCAACTCACTGCATACCTGTAATTATCTCTAGAGGTTTAGTTGGGTCATTACTTCACATTGGTGCTGGGGAGTGGTGTAATACTGAACGATGCCCTCCAAGCTATATTATGCAGGAGGGCAAGTGAGGTGATCATAATTGTTGCTTCAGCCTTTAAAAATCTGTTAACCTATGAATATTTCATGAACACTTTGGTTGATGTGCTGGTACACAAGAAATAAAGTATCCATTATTATTGGGTAGAGCTGGCCAGAAATTTTCCAGCAGAATTGGGTTTTGTCAATAATTACTCAGTCAACAGTACATTTTCCTGGAGTGTGTTTATTTTTGTCAAAATTGTCAATGAAAGATTATCTAAACATACTCTTTTAGAAGCCAAGGTGCCTTGTTGCATCTTTGTCTTTTCACCTCCTCTATTAAATCAACAATATTAGGAATTGTTTTCCAAGGGTTGGTTATAGAGGAAACATCGACTTGTCTTCATTCCAGCTCAGACCAAAAGGGAGGCTTGAATTGCTCAGCTGCAGGGCAAACACCAGCACACGGCTTGTCCCACCTGGCTTCTCTTCCAGTGCAAGGCAGAGCTGGGGACCAAGTACTGATACACCGGAACTATAACAGCCCTGTGATGTGTGCAGTAGTGTTGTAAGCCCCTGCTCAGCAATGCTTTTTCAACCAAGAAGCAAGGTAAGAGCTTCTCAACTACAGTGCTCCATCAGATAGCCCGTCTCCTGCAGACAGTAGGCTGGGGGCATTTTGAATGCGATTTACATAAAATGCATCCTTTCCTCTTCCTCCTTGTTATGGATTGCAGTCTCGGAGATTGCTGGCAGTGTACTGGTTTCAGAGTATATTTTATACCTCCAGCAGACATGCTGGGAAATATATGGAGGCAGCAAATGCGTACTGGATTTCTCTGTGTGTCTAATAAGAATGAGCAATGACCTGCTGTTTGTTGCAGGAAAACTGATGGGCCTGTGTGTGGTGCAAAGGCTTCAGAAGTCAATAATGTTTGCATATTTGGGTTGCATTTGGAACAAACAAGTGGTGAGAAAATAATTGTCAATAGTTTTGAAAGGGAGCTTGAAAAAAAAAAAAATGGGCAAGCTCTGGAAAGGGGCTCATGGTGTATTGGCGTTTCCACGGCTGGGCAAGGGCAGTAATCCTGGGCATTAACAGCAGTTTGTGCGTGAAGCGCGGCTCTGAGGCTGGCTGCCAGCTGGTACAGCAGGATCAGGAGGTATCAGGATTCAAATCCTGGTTGTGTTTCACATAAGTGGGATGTTTCACACTCTGGTGGGCAAGACTGACTCAGTATTTGCAGAGGACCCAAACTCAGGAGGAGCGTTAAGAGCTCTGGAGGCCTCACTAAGCCGCTGCAATGCAGCAGGCACCTGCAGAGCCCTTCCTGGTGGTCCTCAGGGGAGGTCTTCCATGCTACTGACCCATCCTCTTTTTTGTCCTCTTTACGTTAGGGTTCGCACCTTCCCAAAGGAGTCCCACCTGGGCCATGACACAGTCCGAGCCCTGATGTACTACGCCCTGAAGGTCTGGAGCGACATTACCCCGCTGAATTTCCATGAGGTGGCAGGTAACAATGCTGACATCCAGATAGACTTCTCCAAGTCAGATCACAATGATGGCTATCCCTTTGACGGGCCTGGTGGGACAGTAGCACATGCTTTCTTCCCTGGAGACCATCATACGGCAGGAGACACTCATTTTGACGATGATGAGTATTGGACCTTCAGATCATCAGGTAAGTCAGGGTGGGAGAGCTGCAGTCAAATGCAAGGGCTCCCAGTTTCCCTCTTCTGCTCTGGTGGTTAGAGTGGTTTAGTCTCTGCTATGCCTTCACCCCAGGATTGGGAATCCCAACACCTTCTTCTGGTCCTCCCCCTCAGTCTTGTTGGTGAAATGACAACAGATAGCACTGAGGACCTTCTGTGCTCCTGGAAGCCTTAATGGCATCTCTGTGTTTCTCCTCTTTGTATTGGCGGTTGAAGAGCTCCCCGTCACCCACCCCTAGTCCTCATCTCTTCCGGGACCTGGAAGGTTGCAGATTGGGTGCGTGACTGTTGGAGCTCTTGGATGGGGACTGCATCCTCTGACTTGGGAGTATTTGGGTGGCTTCACAGCCACGTGTCCCAGCTCCCTATTTTTAAAGCATATTTATAAGCTGACCTGCCTGGAAATGTCTCACTGGTCTGCAGGGTAAAAGTCCCCTGTGAACACTAGGTTTTTCCTGCCATCTCATGTCTGTTACCTGACACGAGGATGGTTATAAGTTACAGGTTTATTCTTATTTTTCTTTTATTTCATCTCTGGCTAGAGCACAGTTTTAATAAGCAGAGGGACTTTCAGAAGCAAGTGTTCCTCAGCTGCGCGAGCCATCTGTGGGGATCAGGTCCCCAACCTTTGTGTCAGGCACGTTTTGACAGATCGTCTCCTCTGCAGTCACCAGCTGCTAATTTACTTGTCACGCAACCTCCTCCGCCAGACTCCCAGTGGGCTCCTGCTGCCTCAGCTTATTGATTTCATTTAGACCTAATCGTCTTCTCTGAAACCAGCTAATACCTTCCTTCTCCCCACCTCTCTCCTCCCTACCCACCCGTTGACCTCCGTCCATCCCCACTGAGTGTTCGTGGGCAGAAGCGTTCACCTTATGTGCTGGAGGAGGTCTGGCATTAAGGCTAAAGGTCTGGATGGGCTGATTCTTCAGGATTCAACCCACTTCTTGGTTCATGCCACTGTGCAACCCCAACCGGTGTCTCTTCTAGGGAATTAAAAAAGCAGCAGCTCCACTCTGCAGACATACAGGGCAGAGGCAAGCGCCGAGCTCTGGTAGCTTGCCAGAGCAGGTGTGTTATGTGATGAAGTAAGGAGTGGTGCCCCTTTTGTTGGGAGCCCTCGTTGTGAAACAGACTCACAGGGAGGAACAAGCTCAGGGCCAGCAGCCCCGCAGGGAGAATGCCTCCAAGCACCGCCAAGGGATGAGGGGATGAGCCTGACACAGAGAAAGCTGCCCTCTGTTTTGAAGGTCTTGGAGTTATCTGAGCTTCATCTTTTATTTATTTTGTTCTCCCTAGTGATTCAAAAATAACAACTCGGTAGGTGATATAAAAATATCCCCAAGGTTGTCAGTTTGGCATTAAAATGTCAGAAAGCATATGTCTTGTTCTTTCCTAGTGCTGGGGAAAACAGCATAGGTTATAAAAATCTTGGCTGTTTACAGACACTGTAAATAATAGTCATCAAGGAAAAAGTAGAATTCAGCAAAAATATCACCCCAAACACCCCAAGCCCAGTGGGGAGCACTAAGGACTGTGCAGGATCAGCCATGGCTGCTTTGGCATGACATCTCCTTTGGTCCCAACCATGACTCAGGGAACATGGGGCTCCCCTGAGCTCTGTGGAGACCTTTCCAACCTCATCACCTTTTTATTACAATACTTGCAGTCCTGGTCTTTGTAAGAACCATACCTAAAATCATTACTGCCCTCTGGTATTGCTCTGCAGGGCATTGCTGTGCAGCAAGGGACAGAAATTGCATGGGTGCTTGGCCCAGCTGGTCTGTGGCAGGGTGATGGGAATGCCCCAAGCAGGATCAGTCCCATATGGATGCTGGGAGCAATTCCTCCTTTGCTCTGGCAGTGGTGGTGTAGGTTTGGAAGCAGACATTAACGCCCGTTGAGATCTGGCCTGAGTGTCTGAGGCTCTGGAGAGTATGGGATGGGTCTGTGTGTGGGTAAGGTGTGAGGCACTGGGGGTTAGATTGCAAAGAAGGAAATCTGGGGAAACAGAATAGAGTAGCTATAGCCCAGACAGAGGAAAAAGTCATCACAGGATGTATCGATGTTCAGTGAAGTATCCCTGATATCCAGTGTGGTGTGTGAAGATCAAAGTGTTTGCCTAAGGGAGCAGACCCCAGAGCTGCAGCCCCCCCCCCAGCACAAGGTGTGGAAGCTGAGAAGAGAGGCAAGTCCTCTGGAAACAAGCTGGACATGGTCACCTGCCCCTTCTTCCGTTTCTATCAGGACACCCATTAGATGAGCAGGGTTGGTGGCCGATGAGCAGGTGAACAGCTCTGTGTTTGTATGCGTGCAGGAGGGACCTGGCCAGGGCAGCAGCGTGCAATGCCAGCATTGTGCATGGAGGGAAAGCCCAGCAGAGCACCATGGGCAGGCGGGCGCTCACCAGGTCCTTGGCACACATGGCTTTGCTCATTATCACAGGTTTTGACGAGCTTCTGGCTAGTGGCTGCAGACATTTTGTATTCTGAGATTGTTGTATTCTAAGACCATTGGCGGCTGCTGCAGGGCAGGCATGAGATATGGGAGAAGACTTCTCTGGCCCAGTTCCTGCAGTGCCAGTTAACAGGGGTGATGGATGGTTGTGTCGAGGCTGCTCTCTCAGCCGTTTTGTCTAGCTCTCTCTCAGGTGCCATCAGTGATCTGGGAATAAGGGGGATGATCCCCAGGCTTGTGTGAGGCTGAGGACTCATGCTGTGGGCTGATGTCTGGCTTGCTTTCCATTTTCATATGATACATGTCAATCTCCTTTCTCCAGCTGGAGAAAAATGTCTTTTTCAAACTTCACCAAAGCTCTTCCTTCCAGTTTATCCAACATATACTTATACTTTCTCTTGCAGCCCTTACAGCCCACCCAAACCCCAAAAATACAATCAACATTTCATTTCAATCTTGTCTTTATTTCCAGACGCTCATGGGATGGACCTATTTGCTGTAGCTGTCCACGAGTTTGGCCACGCCATTGGCTTGACCCACATCTCTGCCATAGAGTCTATCATGAGACCCTACTACCAAGGTCCGGTGGGGGATCCTCTGAAGTACGACCTACCTTATGAGGACAAAGTCCGAATCTGGCAACTCTACGGTAAATTTGTGTCCCTCACCTGGCTACGGCCTGTTCTGCCATGGGACATGCTGGAATAACTGTTTTCTGGGGTGATTGGAGCTAGTGGGGAGGATGGTGTACTCCTCTACTGCTTCTCTTGTCTTTATGCCTAGGAGTCAGGGAATCTGTGTCCCCCACAGCCAAGCCTGAAGTGAGCAAAACTGATGACCATCCTATGCTGCCAGAGCTGCCAGAGAACCGCTCCACTGTCCCGTAAGTCAAGGTTGTTTCTTTTCAACTGTCGCTGATGTTCCTGAAAAGGACATCTAGTAGTGAAACTGCACTCAGGCACTAGTATCTTGCCTGCTCACTCTGGCTTCGGTATTTCCCTCTGGACCTCTTGTCTTCTGGAAAACATGCACACACAAAAAGTGCCCCTTTTTCCTCATGGCTCCTGATCATCTCCTGCATACACTGTTGCTTTTTTCAAGCAGTATGTGTACAGATGGACCAACCAGCCCACAACTGAAGTGGTTAAGAGCAGGAACAAGTGACAGGTGCTATCTATCCCTTAGATAATTTTTATCATTCAAGGCACATCCAGAAATTCTGTATCATCTTGGAATGCTTTGCATTTCCCTCAGACACAAAATTTTACTCATGTTAATGGAAATTTGTCCCCATCACCCTTAGGTGAACTCATCCTTGCTGAAATTTTAATCAAACTTCCTCTGCAGTATCTTGATTTGTGCAAGCATAACTTACCTAAATCTTTCCACTGTGAGCAACTCCCTAATGTACCTGTGGGGGTGAATATTGGAACAAGTGGACCGATAACCTGACTCCAACGCAGGTTTGAATTGGCAAAGAGCTGCTTATACTGAGTATCATCAGGCAACCAGCATGCCCTCATTAAGGGAAGTTTTAGATCTAGCTCATTAATAAACGTTGGAGTTACCAAATTGTTTTACTATCAGGGCAGCAGGACAGTTAAAAGAGGCAGGGACACTGATCAAAAAGGCAGGAAATCATGGTCACACGTATTTTTGCCAGATACCAGCAGCACCCCAGGTGAGAGCAGAGATGGAGCAGGTCAACTTCACCTCCTGGTCTGACCACATCTGGGGTTTGACCTTGAGGAAGTCACTTCACCTCACTGTGCCTCAATGCCCCATCTGCATAGAGGGGATAACAGCACTGAAGCATGAAAAACTGGATTATTACTACAGTAATAGGACCAAGAAGACTATAATCTTGAAAAAATATCCCTGTGCTGCAGTTACTTTTCCCACCTCGGCACCTGTTCACCCCACTTTGCCCTGCTTGGTGTGATGCCCACAGCACAGAGGTGCTGAGCACCTACTCTTGGTGGAGATGTCCAGCATCCAGGGGTTGCAGAAAGGCCAGGAGGGTCCTAAGGGACCCTTTTCTTTGAATATGCTGAATGCCATTAGTTATCTTTCTTCCCAGGTAGCTTCTAATGGAGCTTGTCCACAAGGCTCTGTATGGCTGTGTTTTGACCTAGAAACAAGAGCATTTCTCCCTGCTGCTGTCGGAAGCCATCGTCTTGCACCAGCAGCAGTAGGGGCAGAACACTTGTTCGTGCCAACCCCTTCTTCCTGCCCCATGTATGACTGGGAGGGTGGATGAGGTTCACCTCCGCGCCTGTCATTTTGTGCCCAAAGAGGGCTGTGAAGTTGGTGCTGGCAGCCCAGCACAACTGCTTCTATCAGGAAATTAGATTTATGCTTCCCTGTCACCCACAGCATTTTTTCTGTGCATATTCTCAGCATCCCCTCCGTGTCCTCCATCAATCATCATTTCTCACATGGGCTTCACAGCACTTTCAGTCCTTCGTACCTTGTGCCTTTTCCACCCACCTTGTTAAAAGCAGCTCAGCATCTCCGCAGTGACTCGCCAGATGGCTTTCACCACATATCACATGGCATTGTCTCGCATGTAGCATCGTATCCGTGTTTGGTCTTGTCTGCTTTCTGCTTTGCAGCTCTGTCACCTCCCACTGGCATTTCAGAGGTCAGCTTTGGGGCAGCGATGTCCCCAGCCGCTGAAGCGAGGTGCTGTTTGGCTCTTACCCACCATGTGTGCTGCTGCCCGGGGGCAGCCAGCCCAGCCGGTGCCACTGGGGAGAGGCAAGCCACCTCTGTCCTTACCAGTTACGTGAGCTGGTAGATGTAGAGCATGTCCCTGCTTGACTCCCGGTGATGGTCTCTGGTGGCCCAGGGAGCGTGTCTGCCACAAAGCGGTCTGCAGGCTGAGGGTTTCCCAAGCTTGCCTTGGAAATTCCCGTGCACATGGCTGGGTTTGAGCATGAGGAGCGACAGATGGATGCAGGTTTTCTGCTGGGGGGTTGGAGACAGGGGAGATGTGATCCATGGGATGGGGAACACCAGGGAGAACATGGCCCCTTGCTGCCCACCTGGGCTGTGCTCACCTGGGCATCTCTCTGCAGGCTTAGGCGGGACGTGCCCAACAGATGCAACACCCACTTCGATGCAGTAGCCCAGATCAGGGGAGAGGCTTTCTTCTTCAAAGGTAAGTGCCCACTGCTGGTGGTTTTTGTGTGTGTCACCCTGCGGTGACACTGGTGTGACAGCGCAACACTGCAGCAGCAGTGTCGGACAGGCTGGGGCAGGTGATGAGGATAAGCAGGCTCGGGGTTTGCAGGCTGCAGGGCTCACAGACCCACAGAAGTGTCTCGCATGCCAGTGACTCCTTTTGTCTCAATTCAAAGGGTTTAGACCTTTAATCAGCCCACTGAGGCTGAGGATGGATGATAAGGACATTCTGGTGTCAATTCAAATCCTGTCTCCAGTGCAGAGTGAAACTGCCTGGCTCCTGCCCGGTCTGTCACAGTGCAGGGGAGGAGGTGCCCCCGCAGCCGATGGCTGGGGACATGCAGTGGCACTGCTGGGGGATGGGCAGAGATCACAGCTAAACAGGGACTGTGAGGGAGGAGGAGAGAAGGGATGTGCTAGAGGTATCCAAAAGACTGCACAGGAAATTGACCATTTCTTTTATCCAAAAGGGAGAAAGTCAGTGAAACTGAAACACAGTTTATTTTAAAATTATAAAAATTGATATTTTTGAGCCCAGCAAGTAATTAACCTGTAGGACCCGCAGACAAGAGCTGTTGGGGGTCTGTCTGGTGGGTGGTTGGGAAGGAGAGAGCAAAGGAGCACCTGCAAGCTGTGCCGCTGGCGGCAAACCCTCCTGCACACCGCAGTGCACAGCTGGTGCAGCGCCCGCAGAGACGTGTGTCCTAACAAACACCAGGGCAGGCGTGTGTCCTAACACCAGGGCAGGCGTGTGTCCACATGGCATGTCCCGGGATTTTAACGCTTCCCTCTGAAGGGGCCAGGCTGGTGACAATCCAGCGCAGCACTTTGTACCACACTCTGGCCCATCACGCTGCCCAAGTGAAGAACTAAAATCTGATATTTGCACTATCAAAGTTGAAATTTGGGTCGAACCGAGGACGAGCAGAGCAACAACAGCTCTCCACTGCTTTTTTCCTGGATGCCTCCAACTTTCCTTTCCTCCCACGCTTCACCTTCCCTAATTCTGCTTGCTGTGCATTGCTCAAAGACAGCATGCACACAATTGCAGAGCCATCTGGTTCCGTGTCAGCAAACACTTGCTGGCAGTGTGTCCCTGGGGTGCCCGGCTGTTGATGAGGATCCCATCAGTGCCTTCTCAGCTGTACAGAGCCTATGTAGGCTCAAGTCTCTGGGCTTTCTTTCCCATCTTTCCAAGATAGAAACATGCCCACTGGGCACTTCCTTTCATCCCTGGACACCATTTGGCCACCCCAAAGCCATCCAGCAGGGAAGCAGAAGCATCTCCCCCAGGGATCAGGAGCAGTGTCCAGGTGTGTATAACACACAGCGTGAGTCTCGGGTCACCAGCAAGAACAGCAAAAGGGTGCCGGAGAACCCAGTGTTGTCTGTGCCCTCGGAGGAGTACAATATGGAGGCTGTTCCTCTGCAGTATTTGTTCAGATGCCAGCTCCAAAAAGCCACAGTGAAGAAGAGAAAATAAGAGGCAAGAACTGGCGTCCAAGATAAATGGCTGTCTGTCTTTCAGAGGGGAAAAAAAAAAAGATGAAAAGTAAAGAGAAATCCATCTCAGTGTCTATTTTTGGATATATTTATTGTGGGCCAAAATGCAAATGTAAAGAGCACAGTGTCAGTAAGTTCCAGCTGCATGGCTGCCTCCAGAGCCCAGCACCTCCCCTGGAGCCCCATCTCTGCCACCAAACTGTCCTGGGCATGGAGAAGCAGGGATATCACCTCTGGGGAAGGATTTTAATGGCCTCCAGTGATGAGCTCCCTCCATCGATGGACATTTTGTTCTGAGCTGGTCTGGCTGGTTCCCTAGCTGGAGGGCATCCTCTCCCACCACAAAGGCACGAGCACAGGAGCTCCCCAGGGCTCCCAGGCGTGTCTCATGGAAGGCAATGGTGGGTTCTCTGCACTATGGAAGCATCACTTGCTTTGATTTAGGTGCCTCACTACGGACTCCTGAAGTTTTAAAACAACTTTGGCCTGTGTGTGTGTCTGCACAGTGTGTGCAGCAGTCTTGCCAGAGGCAGCCAAAGTACAGAGAGCGTGGTACACAGCTGGGATCAAAATCACCTGGTATTAAAGAAAGCAATTGCCTCAACCCATCATCCATATAAAATGAGACGCTCGGGACAGCAGGACTTTACACTTGGCTTTCATCCTGCTCAGTTTGCCAGCTCAGCGGGTGGTTTTAAACCAAGCTTTTTAAACACACATGGGGTTGGGATTTTTTTTTTTTTTTTTTGATTATATTTCTGCATGCTAATTCCCCCATGGATCTGGCTTTGGCTGATGATCGCCCAAGCAACCGCAGCACTTTGGCGAGCAGACTTGGCTGTAACAAAACATAAGCACGGGCAGACTGTGGCCATCACATTAGGAATTCCTTGCTACTTAATTGATATATATTCTTTTTCTTTTTGCTGATAGCTTATCAAAAAACCCAACCAAATTAACCAACAGTCCAGGCTATGCCTGACTTTGAGGGTAGATTTAAAGCTTGCTTGCTGCAGTTATGCACCTGCTGAGCCCATTGCTGACAAAAGGTTGAAAAGTCAAAAGCACTGAGGCTTCCCTCCTTGTCTCAAATGAGTCTGGGGTGCTCCAAAGTTCAGCTACTTATCTGATAAAGAAGTAATTATGTCAAGTTGTATTTCTTGTTAAAAAAGTGAAAATCTGGCTTTGTCTAGTGCCTCACTAATTAGAGATGCAGAGATCATCTTTATTTAATTACATGTGTTTCCATCGATGTACAATGGGCCACCAAATTTGAATCCTACTTTTTTTAACATTCTTAAAAAGGATCTGTAATTATGGCAATTCTTACCACATTTGAATGTATTATTCATTTGTGGGTTTCAGTCAGATAGAGCAAATATGCAAACTGGAGCAGAAGAACAAGAATATGATATAAATCCTTATAATTAGACTAAAACCCCCCCTCTGCAGATGTTTAAGTGTTAGAGTTTCGCCTCCTGCATTATTAGGCTAAGATCCAATTTCCATAAAATTTTAAAAGACAGTGTCACAATCTGCCGGCTCTGGAGAAGCGGCTGAATGTCGTGAATACAAATCTGAAGATGCATCTTTGGTTTCTGTTGCTTATCCCCCCTTGGGAATCCATGCAAGAGCAGATGTAAATAACATGCAATAATTTCTAACAGGCAATAACAAATATGAGACAAAGTTGAGAGTTGGCTCTTAGACATCTTGTGCCAGCTCAGATCTCGCTGTGTGGAGCTCTCTGGGGAACACGCAGCATGAAGCTTGCTGCAAGAACTCAGGCTGAGAATCCCAGAGCCAGTGCAGAGTACGGTTTTGAGTTGCCCCTGAAATCATTAAGACTCATCCAAAAATCCTTAGGCAGGAGAAAGTTTAGCATTCTTCCCACAGAGGACAAACCTCTTTCCTTTTCCGTTACCCAAAATGTTCCAGAAATACCCCAAGCCAAACTCTCTTCTAGCTGGGGCAGTGTTGCTGCAGGTGCTGGAAGTGTGTTTGCTTACACCACTGGTACCTTCATCCCCTGGGAGCACAGCAGGACTGAGATCCACTGCTTATCCTACACCTCTAGATGGTACCAGACTCCTTAATTGTGCCTCCTTCCCCACTTCAACCCTTTCCAGTTTTGTTAATATAGTTTCATTCCCCTCTATTTTCTTAGCCCCTTTCTTCATTAGAAAAAACCCCTCTGATATTTCTGTTTCATTGTAACATCATACACATTTCTAAATATGAAAGCAGCTGGGCACCCTGTGTGTGGGAAGCTGGGGGTGCTCCGGGGGAGCAGAAATAGGGATGTTTCTTTGGAGTCTCTGGCTGAAGGCGCCCAGGCTCCCAGGAGATCCTGTGCAGAGCAGAAAGGGAGGAGATGAAAGGCTCTTCTCACCGGCTCAGCGGTGCAGCTTCACACCGTGGCCAGGACTATAGCAACTCCAGTGTGATGTCCGAAGGATTATTTTGATCCCAAAAAGGGGTTTTCTTCTAATGGCTCACAGAAATAGAAAGAGCTAGCAGCTGCTGCTGGAAAGCAGGATGCCTCTAATCCATAGCTCCCATCTCATGCACTTGGCTTTCTGCTGCTGCCGTGTGTCTGGCACTCGTGTCCCCCGGCGAAGGTGGGTTGCAGTGTGGTTCAGTAATGTCCAGTCTGTCCCTCCAGGCAAGTACTTCTGGAGACTGACTCGCAATAAGCACTTGGTCTCCCTCCAGCCGGCTCAGATCCACCGTTTCTGGCGGGGCTTGCCGCTCAACCTGGACAGCCTGGACGCGGTCTATGAGAGAACCAGCGACCACAAGATCGTCTTCTTCAAAGGTGAGAGCGAACGCGGTGCTGGAGGTAGCACATGTGTCTCCCTGGTGTCGAGCGTGGTGCTGAGGTACCTTGGCAGCGTTCTGACCTCTCCTGCAGGCAGGAGACACCAGTGTCAGCCGCTGAGCATCTCCCGGGGCAGGTCCAAGACCTTCTGTCCGTGAGCAACCCCAGGAGAAACCAGCTCGTAGGGAGGGCAGGCAAAAAGTAGCAGTCATGTTCCCCGGAAAATGAGGGAAACGTCATTGAAGAAAAAGTTCAGCCAAGTATAACTGAAATCTAACTTTTCAGAAATTAAATAAAAGTAGGAACCACCCACGTACACACTTTACACATTTTGTGTTCCTTCTTTGGATTTTTCTCTTTTTAGTATTTATTGCCAAGAAGAGAAGCAGCAGCAAAGGGGACAAAAATGAAACCTGAAGAGCATGGTTTTGCTAATTATATTTCTGTTGCTTTTTCTTTTTTTTTTTTTTTCTTAAAATAAGTGGTATAATCCTCTATTTTTATTTAAAACAACTTACAAGTTTATTTCAGAAGAGATGGAAAAAGGAGATTAGCTCTTGGTTCCTACACAAATGTCCGCATCCCCCACAAAGTGTCTGTCCGTGCTAGTTAGATGTTAACCCAGTGAATGTCACTCAAGCGCCTGGCAGGCACCGGCTCTTGTTTTGGAAAGGTTGTGCGCTTGACAAGCTAAATACATCCCGACCCTCTGCACTCCCCGCCTAGAAATTGCTTTTTTGTCTCCCAACCATTCTGCTCCGAGCACGGTGCAATTATCAGTTTCAGATGTGCTGAACCAAGCACTTCTGAAAGCAATAATTTGGTTTCAGTTCCTCCAGCGAGGCTGAGGAGCGGCTTACATCCCGCACGAGCCTCTACGCTCGCAGCGGCGTTTCCAAGCGCAGCCGAAGCCCTGCCGGGCTGCCCGCGCGCCCCAGAGCCGGCCAGGCCCTGCGTGTCCCCAAGGAACAGCACGCAAAAGGCTCCTCCGTGTTCCCAGCTGCCCGCCCCGCTCTGCCTCTCCGCTCATCTGGCAGGAAGGGGGCCAGCTGGAGCGGGGCAGCCCGTACGCCTGGCACCAGACCCTCCCAGTCAGGGCTTCAGACCACAGCGGCCCTCGCTCGCTTCCTTCCCGGCTTCTCTTCGCTCCCTGCTGGGGACGGACGGACCTCCAGCAGCTCGGACAGACCTGCAGCACCCTGGGTTCAGGGGCTCCTCCTGAGTGCTTGCGAGGCCAGGATTACAGCTGTGCCACAGCTGGGGTCTCACCCCCCTGCAAGGCACAGCACTCCGTGGTCGTGCATGATGTGTGTGTTAGTCTTGCCTAGCTCCTAAGATTAAACTCAAGATTTTCTTTCCAGCTATAAAATACTGTCTCATTCTCTCTCTCCAGCGCTGTTTCATTGATCCCTGGACAGAAACCAAAGCACACAAATTACCCCAGCTTCTAAAGTCCTGCTGCTGATACATGGACACGTATTTAAGTGCCTCTTCATATTTTCTAGAAAACTGAGGGAGGAAAAAGCCTGATCTTTAAAATGGGTTGTGTGATACCTAAAAGGACGCTGCGGGTTCCCAAAGAGACATTGTGCAAACAGAAAGACTGTCCCAGTGGTTAGAGGATTATGTAGGGATTGAGAGGTCTGGGTTCATTTTCTTGTACTGCCACAGACCAGAGGCCAGTCATGTCGTGCTTCATTTTTATCAGAAAAAAAAACATATTAACAGTTCCCTCCTGCCCAGGGTAGGGCCAGGGGGATTGGCTGTGTAGGACATTTCAAGGGCAGTGAGCTGCTCAGATGGGATTTGTCCAGCCCCTGTTCATTCTCCTTACATCCCTTAAAATTCACAGGTCATTCAGCCTGGCTGTCCCTAAAAAGAGTGGTGATTTCTCTTCCAAAGCAGGACTACACTTTGCTTCTCAGGAGTCAAGTACCAGGCAGAACATTCCCAATTTGCACACAAAAGCTGCCTGTAACTTTCTGTTTCTTGCAGCTCAATATCAGGCAGAAATCAAAGGGGCAGAAAACCAAATTCCAACACCAAATACATAAAAGTGACAACTGCACTAACGCTGCCGGTGTGTTCCATGGCCCAGGACTGTCATGCTTGCAGTGGTTCAGGAGCAAATGGGGACCTGACAACAAAAAAAAAGCATCTATTCAAAGACTGAGGTTCTCCACTGGTCTGCTGCCTTCCCATCCCCATCCTTAAATGCCAAGAGCTCAGTCCTGTCGATTGTCACGGCAACAGATATGAAACATCAGCTCATCTGCGGGGGAACGCTGGTTTCAGCTGTGAAACAAATGTGATTTTGCTCTGTGCTTCTTTCCTTTCCACAGGAGACAGATACTGGGTCTTCAAAGACAATAATGTGGAGGAAGGATACCCACGGCCGATCTCAGACTTTGGTCTGCCACTGGGAGGAATCGACGCTGCTTTCTCCTGGGCTCACAATGACAAGACTTATTTCTTTAAGGACAATCTCTACTGGTGCTACGACGACCACGAGCGGAGGATGGATCCTGGGTACCCTTCAGAGACCATCCTATGGAAGGGAATACCAAGCCCTTTAGATGATGCCATGAGGTGGTCAGATGGTAAGTCCATATGCTGGTTCAAAAAACACAAGAAAAAAAATCAGTGCTTCATTAGCACTCTAGCTACAGCCCCTTCTACCATGCCTGCCGACATGAAGTGCTAAGTCCCAGATGGGACAACAGTTCCCGGTGTCTGGAAGCTGAAGGGGGAGGTAGGCTTCCAGCCAGAGCTCCCTGTGCTGCTCACTAAAAGACTTTGTAATTTCAAGCAGGCAACAAAAATATCCTGGGGGTCTAACAATTTGATTTTATTAAAAGAACACAGTTGATGTTGTTTTGCAGTGATTTTTATTGTAATATGTGCTGATTTGCTCCTCACTGAATTTGTTGTCATTGGATTTTTAGCGAGATATATGAGGATGCAGACAGAAAATATTTTTAAAGGAGATGTTTTCCCCAGAGTTACAACTTATTTTCCAGGGATGAGATTTCTCAGTGGTTTCTTCCCCTTGAAAAGACCACAAAAATTTTGTCAGAGGAGATGTTTAATAACAGCTATTCACTCACAACAAAGTGGCACTTCCAGGTTTTATTTACCAGCAACCTAACGATGTAATAGCAACCATTAAACCAGGCAGAGGGGAGGGACATTTCCAGAGACTTTTCAAGATGAATTTCCAAAGCTGTTGAGATCAACCGACTGTTCACGTGGGTAGGAGCCCTTCATGAGTGTGGGAGCTGCTTAAAGAATTCACAATGCCCTGGTTCAGGATGGAAACAAAATGCACCTGAGAGCAGTATGTTCCCAGGGCCCTGCCAGGCTCAGGTTATTTATCTGAGCCATGGATTTACTAGAAGTTTGACCCTGCACACCCTCAGTACCAGCAGGGTGCATCTGCTCTAGGACCCACCATAGAAAAGCCGACATCTCATCACCCATCTCCCATCTGTCTGGTGGCTCCTGGCTGGTGTGAGAGATCCCAACCGGGTGTAGCATCATCTTTTTGAGCGTCTTCCCAGCAGCCGCTGTGCTCCTGCAGTGGGAGAGGGTATTGGCAACAAACAGTGGTATATGCACATGCCTCTGCTCCCCGGGGCTCAGCTGGGGTGGGAGAGCTCCTCTGCTGCTCCTGTCCCCTTTCCACCAGGAGAGCGCCCATCACCACTTATCTTGCCTTTGGGTTTTGGTCTCTTTGCAGGTGCAAGTTACTTCTTCAGGGGCAAGGAGTACTGGAAAGTGCTGGACAGTGACCTGGAAGCCCAGCCTGGTTATCCCCAGTCCATCGCTAGAGACTGGCTGGTGTGCAGCGACATGCAGTCCGACTCCCCGGGAGCAGCGGGGAGCAGCAGGACGGGGGCACGCTCCAAACCGGGGCAGCATGATGAGAGCCGCTCAGAAAACGGCTATGAGGTCTGCTCCTGCACCTCGGCCTCCCCAGCCCTGCGGGCTTGCCCTGTGCTCAGACTGTCAGCCAGCCTCATGCTGACGAGCGTGTGGACAGCAACACTGATGTGTGCAACCCTATGACATCTCATCCCACTGACGAGATAACGCCATGGTGCTCCAGGGAGGGGAAGTGGACACAATCCCATGACGCTAACTGTTGCAAGCAGAAAAACATTCCTAGGAACATGCTGGTGAAGGGTTTGAATTCTCCATGAGAAATGAACAGTGGTTTTTTGTTTTGTTTTTTTTTTTTTTTCTTTTTACTTTAGTTGAAAGGTCTAATAACAGATTTTGAGCTCTGCACCTTCTTATTCCCCCATCCGGTTAAAGCTGAGAGCAGCCTGACATTGAATTTAGAAATGTTCCATAGAGATGTGTTGCTTCGGATGTTTAAACATGGCAAACAAGGGAGGGGAGAGCTACTGTGATTGAATGGGAACCGAAGAGATCCTTCTGAGACAGACGGCAACATCCCGGAGGAAAGGCAGCAAGGCTATATGTGAGAGGCGGTAGTTATACCCTGACACAATGTACACATCCTATTGGATGTACTAGGTAGAAAGAAACTTTGACTCCACTAAGATTAACTGCAAGGTGATCATTTTACTGTCAAACCTGCTGTGGTCACTGATGTCTCGGTAACCTGTATCAGTTTCTACAAGTCAGAAGCACCTTTGCCTTTCAGGAGGCAGTGCAGCTTCTCTTTGTATCCGAGTCATTTGAGTTTAACAGTTTCTCTAATAAACCTTGGCTGCCTACACCGAGCTCTCCCAGTCCTCTGCCAGACCAAGCCTGCCACCTGCAGTAAGGTGCCGACTACTGAGGCTCAGGCACAGCCTCGGCTCTGTGCAAGGAGCAACCCTGCTGCGTGCAGCCAAATGCGATGCAATTACACCCGCCATGCCAGCCTAATCTGTGCACATGAACTCCTGCTTTTGGAGTTCCTGTTTCAGGTTGTTTTACATTTTGGGAGGGATCAAGATGTATCGCATTCATTTGTGACTGTCATACCCGGCTGCGCTGCGGAGGATGGGCTGGAGTGGGGAGGGATGCTGCACAGTCTGCCTCAAATTCTTCTTGATGCCTCTGCCAGGAGTTTGGAGCGACAGAAGCATGGTCAAGTGATGCATTAGGAGGTTCCGGGGGGGGGGGGGTTCTCACTACTAATCCATTTTCTGAGGTATAATTTGGGCATCTGAGAGTCCTTGAAAATGGGGAGTGAGAACCTGCGTTAGGAACTGCAATAGAGATGCCAGGAAGGCCAGGGTCCTCCAGCCTGATGTTGTCAAGGAGCACTGAAGGAGAGAAATGGGCAGCAGCCACTGTAATGTGCTGTTCTTTTCTGTAAGGCTCCTACAGAAATGCCTCTTGCTGCTTCTGCCAGGGCCAGCTCCTGGGAGCCCCAGCAGTGGGCAATTAGCCACGGGCAGTGTCGTTGTGGGCCCCAGGGCTGTGCCACTGGCCCTGGTGCCAGCCAGGGCTTTTGCCATGGGGCTGGGCATAAGGCAAGGCCCTTCATGGCACAGTGGGAAAGGCAGAGGAGCACAGCTGCCTCCTGATAGAAAAAAGGGGTCACTTTGAGTTTCTCTCTTTGCTGTTTGCATTTTCTAACAGTCCCAATCATTCACAGGGTGCAGCTATTTTCAGGACAATGTGCTACAATGTGATTCTATGGGCCATGAGTCAATGGAAACCTCCCATTAAACCATTAAATATCCTTTTAAAAAATAAATAAATAAATAAATAACATTTAAAAAAAAAAAAAAAAAAACACAAAAAACTCATGCATAGCAGCTTCCTCTGCTGACTAAAGCTGCCCCTGTTGTTCCCAGTGCGTTATTCTTGCTCTGCTCAGAGCAGCTCCCCATCCCACCTCTACCTGCTGGGCCAAGCAGAGGCCACAGGGGCAGGGCACTGTGGGTTGCCCTTGTGGGATGGGGAATTTTCCTTTGGTTCACATCGCTTTTCTTCCTCTCCCCTCTCATGTCAAGAAGACATGGCTTTTAGTCTTTGCTGGGGTGATCTAAATGTTGTCATGTTATAGATTCCTCTTGGAAATGGGACCAGGCCGGAATACAGCATCTCAGGGAAGACACTGTCTTTCTTTTTTTTCCTTTTTTTTTTCTGTCTTCCTCCACAAAAGGACTATCCGGAGGTTGCACCTGAAGGATCAGAGGAGGCAGGGACCTGGGTAGCACCACTTCCACGGCTTCTCCAGCCCAACCCAGGAGCCTGTTGTGGTGGCAAGGACTGCTGGCCCCACAGCCATGCCGATGTGGTCACAGTGGTGCTGGGACCCACACTAATGGGACATCAAGTTAAATTATTTAACATGGGAGGGACTGTGATTTAAAAATAAAGCCTGTGGAAAGGCTTTCAATACATTCTACTGCAAATTATGCATTCTGATGATCAGGAATGGAGCAGGAATCTGGGCTCTGCTGCTGCTGAACAACCTTCGGGGAGGATGGAGAAACACTGCTGTCTCCTCCCGGCGTGTGGCTTTCCTGGCCGTTCCCCCGGCCACTGGCAAAGCTGCCGTGATGTTGCCGTTGGCTCCGGATGCGGCCACAGGAGGCTCGAGCTCCCCTGGGATGGAGACAGGAGCTGGAGCGTTTCCCATCGAGGTCACCGGTGCAGAGTGGGGCCGGCAGGGTCGGCTGGGCTGGGGCATCGGGAGCAGATGTCTGCGGCACAAAGACGCTGTTATAGCGAGCGTGCTGGTCCTCGGCGTGCTGCATTGCATTGTTCTCCCACGGGGACACAGCAGTTCTGTGTGGGTGAAGCAGTGTGGATCCATCCGTGAAAGTGTTTCATGCTTTATAGACCCAAAGGGGGGGGGGGGGGGGGGGGTGGTGGTGAGGTCCTGTGCAGTGCCATGGCAGCCACCCCTCTGGGCACTGTGTATTTGGAAATCCCCAGCCTGTTCCAAGGGCATTTGCAGGGTAGAGGCAATAGGTGCAAATCACAGCATGACCCTGGTACTTGGGGATCTTGTTCTCTTGGGTTTTCCTCTAAAGCCAGGCTCACTGCCAGTTCTTCTGGGTGTGGGGAGGCTGGGCACTGTCTCCAAGAGGGGCTGAGCGGGTGCACAGCCAACCAACAGCAAATGTGCGGGGGCTGGGGGATGTGCCGCTGCTGCTGTGGGGTGCAGACCCCTCTCCCGGGGTCACAGAGGAGGTCGGGGGCAGCAGGTTGGGTTTGGGTGAGCGGCAGCACAGGCGTCCCCGATGCAGCCGCAGGAGGACAGCAGAGACAGCCGCAGGCACCCGCTCCTGGCCCCCAAGTTCTGCCTCCAGGGGCATAGTCGTGCTTCCTAGCGGCTTAAAATTAAGACTGTAACATAAATGCGGTCTCTGTACTCCAAAACATTGCTGACTCTCTGCTGCCGGGCTCCCTGGAACTGTCTCTGTGCCTGGATTCCTCCGGCCCTACCCTGGGCTGGCTCTCCTCCACAACAACATCCTTAGTCTTAGCTGGAAAAGCCACCTCCACCCTCCAAAAAAATAACCTGAGCATCATATTCCTATTGCATATTGCCCAGTCTGGATTTTCCGACTATTTAAATTCTCAGAGGATTTTGTGAGGTCATTTCAGGGTTGAAATACTTCTCCTATGTAATAGCAGGGATGGGAATTTAAAAGAGGGAGCACTGGTCATCTGAACCCATGAGTATTTAAAGCTGAAAACCTGAGTTTATGGCAGCTATGCTTGCTGCAGCTGGCTCCAAGGTCCCAGTCAGGGTTTTTCCTGGCTCTCACTCCCACCCATCCCCATGCTCAGCCAGCCCTCTAGGCCTTTTCTGTTTTGCTATCATAAAGAAAAGCAGAAAGGGAAAAAAAAAAAAAGAGTGAGGTGGGAAGGAGCAGTTTGAAAATGGCAAAGTCATGACAACGCCTAGATTTTAAAAAAAATAATAACAAGTCATCACAGACAAGACCTGAGATTTAACAGCTTGAGAAACACAATAAAGTTATTGAGAAGAGACTCATCTTTACTTGCTGATTCAAATCATAAGACAGGCATATGTGCTATAAAAGGTTCCTCACTCCCATAGCCCCCCTTATAGCTGAAAGGAAGACTCTCAGCCCTCAGCCCAGAGGGCTTTTCTAAAATGGGATTTTCTGCTTTATTGAGATTTCTCCCCTCAACCCCCAATTTAGTCAGAAAAGGTCCTTGCACACCTGTGGGACAGGAGGGCAGGTGGTGGGGACCAGCCCCATAGCTCAGGTGGAGCTGCTCTGGATGATGCCCTGTATCAGCAGGTGGGTACCTGCTCCTGAAACCTTCCTGCTTTGCTACAGTTCTTAGAGATGGAGCTTTTTTGCTTCTCAGGTGGCAGTTTGGGAGAGGGCAAATATTAGAGCTGCCTCCAGCCCTGCTACTTTGCTTTTTCCATCCCCTCTGCCAGGTGAGTGTGGTGTCCAAGCCAGGTCTGAACCTGATGCCGCTGTGAGAAGCAGAAGTGAGCCCAAGGAATGTTTTGTCCAGGGGAAGGGGATTTGTTCTGGCTCTCTGTGTCCTAGTGGTTCCTGGTAAGCTCAGTTCTATGGATCAATTACTTGCTTTTCTCTGAAATTTCTAGACAGGGGGAGTTGGCTGGCCTTGTGGGGCTGGAACAGGCCAGGGGACGGATATAGAACAGCCAAAACCAGAGTACATAGCTGAGTAATAGCCTATAAGAAGTCTAGCTTGGGCTAAGAATAGGAGAGGGTATTAAAGCTGGATGGTATGTGGAAGATTTCTGTAGGCATGTGCTAGGGCTGTAAATGGGGTAGCAGAGGGGCTATCTCTGGATCTTCTGCAGTACAAGTGATTACTGACCTTGTGGCACTAACAAAATTACTACAAGAGCTGCCAGAGCAGTTCCCTGTCCTCCACCCAAATTTCTGGTCCCTGGCTTAAAAAAAAAAAAAAAAACAAATCCCAAACCTCTGGGATTTATGATCCTGTCAGCAGTGAAACCCTAACTCAGCATTAGGTTGCCAGCTCCTGTGGGCTTATTTCTCAACGGAAGGATGGGGGTTTCTCTCTCTCTTTTTTTTTTTTTTTTTTTAAAAAAAAAAAAAAAAAAAGGCTTTGAGCTTGATTGTACACCCAAACCAGTCAAATAAAATGAGACCCAGGCCAGGCTTTCACCAGGACAGTAATCAGTCTGCTCCAAGCAGCTTTCAGCAAGAATGGCTTGGCAGGGGAAGAGCTGCATTGACAACAGGACCACTTTGTTGTGGTGAGGACAAGACTTCACAAGCTTCCCAAGGAACTGCATTGAGATTTATGGGTTGTGCTGCTTGGGTTGTGGCAACTTGTCTTTGGGCTTCATGTGAGGAAATGCACATCCTGAGGAGAGGCCTTCCCACCCCCATCTGAAAAGCCAAACCAAGCCAATGTGTGGTGCAGCTGGAAACCTTGGGAGCAAGAGGGTCTCTTGCTCCAGATCAAACATTTGCTCTGTCCTTCTCTGTCAGAACAAGAGGTGGGTTTTGGAGGGGAGCACAGGTGATGACTGCGGAAGCCTGGTTATATGCAGGGCCCCTCCACTAAATTTCAAAGGGCAGAAATGCCCTGTTTTGCTTCCCACCCTGTCTGTACTGCAGAAATAGCCAACCCAGGATGGCCCCTGGCATGTTTTCCTTGTGGAGCAGGGCAGGGAGCTGCTTGGTTACAGGGCAACTCAGTGAAAATGTCTCCTTCCTCCTCCCAGCCTGAGAAATTGATGGTTATTCTGGATCTGAAGCTGGGTTTGTCTGGGGAATAGAA